AGCTGGCACTTGTGGACAGCACTGATCTGCAAAGAGACCAACAAAATGTTTCAGTTGTGTGTGGAGCGCCAGACCCACTGCATGGTGTCCACCATGTGGTTATATTTAAAAATCATAGAATATCAGGGTTGGAAGGGACCTCAGGAGGTCATCTAGTCCAACCCCCTGCTCAAAGCAGGACCAATCCCCAACTAAATCATCCCAGCCAGGGCTTTGTCAAGCCTGACGTTAAAAACTTCTAAGGAAGGAGATTCCACCACCTCCCTAGGTAACGCATTCCAGTGTTTCACCACCCTCCTAGAGAAAAAGTTTTTCCTAATATCCAACCTAAACCTCCCCCACTGCAACTTGAGACCATTACTCCTTGTTCTGTCATCAGCTACCACTGAGAACAGTCTAGATCCATCCTCTTTGGAACCCCCTTTCAGGTAGTTGAAAGCAGCTATCAAATCCCCCCTCATTCTTCTCTTCCGCAAACTAAAGAATCCTATATATATATATATATATAAGAAGTGGCAAAACTACAGGGATCTGAGGGATTCTACCCTCATCTGGAAATCCCTGCTGAGGGTCTAATGAGCTTGGTGAGGTTCTCCTGCGTCGTTCCGTCACAGGGAAATGGTGGGATCTGTTATGGAATACAAAGGTGTGAAGCAACTGGGATTCCAGCCAGCAAATCCTGTTGATTCTTGCGGTCTGTGCCTCCACATCAGCCTTGGGGTCTGCTGCTGTTCCCTGGGAACCCGTGTGTTGCTGCTGTTCTACTGAACCCGTGTGCCAGGGACTATCCAGGTGGTACCTGCCTTGAGAATCCCCTTAAACAAGGGATCCCATCACAGAGGGTGCTTAGCAGGAAGTTAACAGTGGCTTCTGGCTGTATTAATATGCTAGGTCTATTTGTGCTAGGTACTTGGGGGCAGAAGGTGTGCACTCCCTCTACCTTCCCAAGCACCTGCCCCCTCCCCACTAGAAGCCACCAGGGTTGAGGATGGGCCTATTCCATGGGAGATGATGGAACTCAGTAAGAGGACCCTTGAAGAGATGTGCTTATCAGCATAAGTAAGGTTTGCACTGCTGGGCTCTGTATTTTTGCCATTGTTGTTATGTGCATACTGATAGTTACTTTGCACTTAATATACTCTGGAGAAGGCATAAATGTGTTTGGCTTGATGTATCTTGTCACCTTATCTGTTATATATAGAGAGAAAAATTCCATATCTTCAGAACCCTAATCGGTGTCCCAAAATAGGACTCAAACTGCCTTGAAGGAAATGGGTTGAGAAGTATTTGTGGGGGAGAGGGGAAATGAACCAAACAGTCACACATTCAGTCTCCTTAAAAAGCCAGAGTAGTTAAATTTAATGAAAAGGGAAACCAATTTGATGACTTCCACAGTTATTTAATGGAAGATAAGTTACTAGCAGTGATAAGAAAATTGGTTGTGGTTTTTTTTTTTTTTTTTTACATTTGCAAGGGACATTCCAAAAGGTTTGCCTTGTTGCACAGATCAGATTCAAATGGTGTAAAGGAATGACATTTCATGTTCCTGTTATTTTAATGACCACATAGGTTAAGCTGTTTTAAATATTTTACATATTTTCCTCAATGTGAGAGATTTGTCATGTAAATGTATGCAACTGCCATCAATATTCTAATGAGCTCAGTTTATTTGTTCATCACTTTCTTCTTTTAAATTTAAAATAAAATATTAAGAGTTGATGGGACTGGTAAAACATAGAGTGCTTTGAACTGTCTGAATTGCTCACATAATCATTTGTGATTTGATAGATATTTTTAGGACTTATTATTGTAAATTTCAATTGCCTGACATTTTCCCCATGGTGGTTCTTCAATGATAGAGCAGTGCAAATTTCACTGAGAAACTATTATTTTTTACACTTGTCCTGCTATATTATAATGTGTGTAGATCACAGTGGTTTTGCTGGTCTTTGTTAGTACTCGATCCTGCATTGCTTATACAGCCAAAATTCTTATTTAAATGCCAGCATTCTGGTTAGAGGATTTCAGGTAGCTGTTTTCTTCATCCCTCAGACAGTACAAATGCAACTCCATACTGTTTCATATTTGCCAAATGCATAGCTTGGATCACTATTCTTTCTTTCATGTCTTTCTGTTATGCAGCAGCCAGTCTTCACTATCACTAATCACCTGTATACAGTGCCATTTCTGCAGAGCATATGCCCTTTCTAGCTTCTTCTTTCCTCCACTGCTCTCCATGCCTTAGCACCCTTATTCCTAAATAGAAAAAGGCAGGGTATGTGGGCAAGATATGCCAGCACTATTGGCATGAATGGCCTTGACTACACACAGAAATGCTTGTTCTGATACGACTTCCCATATTTAGGCAAAATAACAATGTCTCTCTAAAGATGAGTGTGAACAGAAACTGATCATTCATGGCACGAAGTTGGCCAAACTGGGTTTTGAGTCAGATTTTCCCATTGTTCTATCCTATTCTGAGAAATCCCAATTTATTCCATAGTTATGTTCAACATGAAATCTCTCTCCCACACTTCAAGTTCATGCATGGATTTGTTCCTCCACTTAGTGAATCTCATCTGCTTCAAGTCTCCGAATCTTTCTATTGGGTATGGTAGGTCCTGCTCTGCAGCTATTTTCACTATCTGTAATACCCCCTCTGCACCTGATGCCCTTTCTATTTCAGGGATAAGTAGCTAAGAAAGGAAATATGAGCCCTTCCCAGGAACCTCAACCAGAATTTGGACTGCAATAAATGTTGGGGTAAGTAAGCAAAAACCTGGGGATGTTCTTTGGAAGTTTATTTTAAGTTATCCAAGCTCTTCTAAACAAGCAAAGTCTAAGTTAGTCTTTATTTAAGCCAAACCTGTACGTAGATTTCAAAGTCTCCTTTTCCTTTGGACAAGACAGAGTCAGAAAAATAATTGGCTTTGTCAAATGAATACACAGAGCATCTAAACCTAAAAGTTTAAATGCCTCTCTTAAGTGCCCCTTTGTGCTACAATCAAGGAATCTGAAGATGTTCTGAAGTGCATTTGACCATATCTGCACTTGAGGTACAAGAAAAATCGTATCACATGCCCTTCAGTACAAATAAACTTCATTCAATGTGCCAGCAAGCTTTAACCACCTGCACAGCAGTAAGGCGATCACTAATATCCATGAAAGGATAAGACTAAGGCATAGGTTGAGCATAGCACATAAGCTTTATATACTTACGTCCATCTTTTCCAGGAAATTACTTAAAGCACATTACGAGCTGTGCCAAACAGAGATGGACTTAAGCTCATGTTGACATGCTTTGCTGAAATGGGGCTTAATGCAGCAAACTTAGTGCCAGAGGTACAAGAAATAGAGAATAAGTGTGAATTACTAGGACTAGTACAGTAAGAACTCTAATACTACAGAGAGGGACACAGTATGAGAACCTGGACAGAATAGTAAGGCTCTGATACACTTCTATTGTTACTATCATTTTATGCCAGTGTAACTCCACTGAAATTCAAGGACCTATACTGGTTTAAAACTGGAGCAATGCACTGGTGAATCAAGTCTCCTCAGAACTCTTGAAAGTTTCCAAATGTTTTATAAAGAGAGATGTCACTGAATAATAATAGCAGGCCTACCTTCAGTGGGTTTTCTTCTTGTGCATTTCCCCCTGCTCTGACTTCTTGTATATTTGTCCTGAAAAAGAATTAGAGACATTGGGAGATAAAGGAGCAGAAAAAAAGAGAGAACATGGGTTGAATGATAAACTGTTACTGAAATATTCAGGTATCTGTGGCTGTTTTGTATTCATGTATTCAAGTTCTTTTCCAGCCTGAGACTTGTGCTTCTGAATATCTGTTTATCTAATTAAGCTCACAAGACTAGAGCTGAATTCAAAATGCTTTTTTATGCAGGTTTGTTCACAAGGGGGCGTTTCTCAAGCTCGCTCAGCACCAATCTGGATTGGATTTGTTTTCCCACATGGGAAATGCTTGGCTGCATCAGTCCTAAGGAATTAAAGCTCCAAAGGCGACATACCAAAACATAAGGCCAAAAACATGTTGCACAAGAGCAGTTAAAAACTGAAGGGATGGAAAGAACCTGGCAAAATATAAGATTGGATGTATCCTAGAATGTTGAAGCAACAGCCAAGATGCTAGTGATAACATTTTACAAACCTCAGAAATCTGGTAAGGTGCCCGCGGGAGCAGAAGAAGGGGAGGGATATTCTGATTCTTCAGGAAGAGAGTCCTGCTAATTATACATTACTTATTCTGTCTATAACCAATGTAAAACACACATACCCAGATTTCCTGGCCTTTACTTTGATACTGGGGGGGTGGGGCATTTGGAAGCACACAGCACCAGGAACCCTTCCCCTGCAGAATGGACACATCATTGACAGTCTCTGTGCAGTCCTCTCTGCAGGAACTGCTACTTGCTAACAACCACTTGGGTGCAAACCACCCCTTCCCTAGAATCTGGAGAAGAAAATCTGTCTCTCTTCTTCCTCCGCTGCTTTACTTCTGCTAATATCCCTCCAAAAGAAATTGTAATGACTTGTGAGGTTACAGGGTCCATCTGCAGACCAGTGTCCAAAAGTTAAAGTAGTAAATGATCTGCAGGTCCAGCTGCATTTGAATACTGTTTTTGTACTCAGCTCAATGTGCAGAAGCAGTCAGAAAAAGCTAACAGAACATTAGGAACCATTAGGAAAGGGATAGATAATAAGACAGTAAATATCATAATGCTAATGTAAAAATCCATGGTACATCATAGAATCATAGAATATCAGGGTTGGAAGGGACCTCAGGAGGTCATCTAGTCCAACCCCCTGCTCAAAGCAGGACCAATCCCCAACTAAATCATCCCAGCCAGGACTTTGTCAAGCCTGACCTTAAAAATATCTAAGGAAGAAGATTCCACCACCTCCCTAGGTAACACATTCCAGTGTTTCACCACACTCCTAGTGAAAAAGTTTTTCCTACTATCCAACCTAAACCTCCCCCACTGCAACTTGAGACCATTACTCCTCGTTCTGTCATCTGCTACCACTGAGAACAGTCTAGATCCATCCTCTTTGGAACCCCCTTTCAGGTAGTTGAAAGCAGCTATCAAATCCCCCCTCATTCTTCTCTTCCACAGACTAAACATCCCAGTTCCCTCACCCACTGTATAAAAGCCAGTCAGCTGCGAACCAGCTGAGCAGCGAACAGCAGAGCGGCTAACAGAGGGAGTTTGCCTGGAATCTGAGAGAAGGTACGCTAAGGGCTGCATTAAGGAGGCTGTGTTGGTGAGTATCTGAGCGTCTGTTGTGGGACAGTTTGACAGTTTGACCGTGTGCTTGATTGGTGGTTTGAAAAGTGTGAATAGGGAGTGCTTTGTTCCAGGTGAGTCTCGAGTGGGCCTGACATCCATGCCTTGAATAGTGTGTGCAATTCTAGTCACACCATCTCAAAAAAGATATATACAAGTTGGAAAAGGTACAGAGAAGGGCAACAAAAATGATGAGGGGTATGGAACAGCTTCCATATGAGGAGAGATTCAAAGGATTGGGACTGTTCAGCTTATAAAAGAGACAACTGAGGGGGGATATGATAGAGGTCTAGATAATCATGAATGATGTAGAGAACATGAGTAAGGAATTGTTATTTACCCTTTCACATTACACAAGAACTAGGGGTCACCCAATGAAATTAATAGGCAGCAGATTTAAAATAAACCCAAGGAAATACTTCTTTGCACAACACACAGTTAACCTGTGGAACTCATTGCCAGGGGATGTTGTGAAGGCCAAAAGTATAACTGGGTTCAAAAAAGAACTCGATAAATCCATGGAGAATAGGCCCATCAATGGCTATTAGCCAAGATGGTCAGAAATGCAACCCCATGCTCTGGGTGACCCTAAACCTCTGACTTCCAGAAGGTGGGACTGGATGACAGGGAATGGATCACTTGATAAATTGCTCTGTTCTGTTCATTCTGAAGCATCTGGCACCAGCCACTGCTGGAAGACAGTACACTGGGCTAGATGGACCATTGTTCTGGCCCAATGTGGTCATTCTTATAATTTATGCAACCAGACCTGAGATTACGAAATCTGGTGAAACTGGGATAGCCAAAAGTATACATTTTTATATCACAAGCAACTTTTTGGTAATACATTATTAAAGTGTATTGGACACATTTTCAAACTTTAATTATGGTGCTGTAAATCCATATAGAACACGTAATATAGTGTAGGCCCAAAATAGTCAGCTACTGTCGCTAAACATTAATATATTGTAATTTTAAATAGAACGTGGTTTACTGCTGAAAAATGGCTGCTTGATAGTTTGATGGGATTTTAATCAATTCAAGACTATTGATCTTAATCTTTGGAATATATTTTGTTTGCTTTACATAAAGCAGTGAACAATCTACAGGATGAATTACTTTGTTGAGTCTTTTGAAGCATAAAGTTCCTCCATGTAGTTGTAGCTGTATTGAAGCTTTAAATGTTTATACCTTTTTGTACTACTTTGAGGTCAAAGCATAACATAAAGCAGCGCATGTGAAACATAACAGAGAAGTATCGTATTGTAACAGAGAAATTTGTAACAACATAGTACAAATCTCATTGTTTTAAAACAGAGATTGGTTCAGCAGAAAATCCTGTTCAGAATTAACTGTGAAGAACCAGGGACTCAATTTGTACATCAAGAAAAGCACCAGAACTGTGGGTTAGTGTCCAACAATGTACGTGCTTTTGAGTTCTGTCTCCTTGTGTTTTTCTTTTGAGAGGAAGTAAGCTGCTAGACTCAATCTAAAACTTGGAAAAGATTTTCCATCATACCCAAATGTTCCTATTCAGGAAAAAGTAAATATACTAAACATTAAGAAGGCAAATGGAGCCATATATACCACTGGTAAGAGGCTGTAACCCTACTGACTGTGATGAGGGTGAATTTTCCATCAAGTCTTGAATGTTTAAGGTTAAGACAAACACAACCACCAAAGGGACAATTCCTGGGAATGAAAAGTTTAAGTCCTAGTGATTTGGCAAATTTAGAAATGCTATGCATCGGTTTTAAAACATATAGAAATGTATGGGAATATGATTCCTAAATATCACCCTCAGACTGACGTGGAAGTAAAAACTCTGGATTCAAATCTCTGTTTTATTTCATCTCAACCTCTCTTTCCTTTTCTCAAAAGGGTTTTCACTGAATGCTGAGGACAGGAAAGAGGAGTCTGAAGAATGGATACATCCAAGTGTTTTGTAATGATTGATAAAAAGAAATCAAAAGAAAGTTCACACAGAAATTTCAGTTAGTATTTTTTTTCTTCATATCCTTGGTGGTGCTATTTTATCTTCAGTGGACAGACTTCTTTCCAGCAGCATGTTGTTAACTGCTCTAATCAATGTTTGTAGAACACTTAGATTATTTAAAGTTTTAGCTGCAGTAAGTTATTGCAGAAAACAAATGATAAGCACTTTGAAAATTTGGCCACTTGTGTACACTTGTGTTTGTTTCCTGGAATAATTTAGCTTACTTAGGACGTCTAGAATAGATGTATTAACATCTATGGTGTAGGCCTTATCTGCTGAGCTCTTTTGAAAAACTCTAGCCATGAGTGTTGCAATTGGAGATGCTGAGTGCTTTCGAAACTTTGGTCTTTATTTAAAGTATCTAAATGGTAGCTGAGCTGTTTTGAAAAGTTAGTCTTGACTGTGCATGCTGACTGTGACCAAGAGCAACTTCCTGGACAAACCTTATTAAGTTAAACTTTATTGAATTAAGTTTAATACCTTTGGGTCCATTGTATTGAAATGAAATTGTTTGTGTTTTTGTACGTAGCTTTTCTAGGAGACTGACTAATGTACACCTTAAGGAAACGATAGGAACTTCCAGGACTTGTTTGGGACAATACATGTGAAGTGGGTTTCCTAAGATGTACTTAGAAAGCCTTTAGAAGCTACACCTGGGGAGAGAAAACCATTGTCTACTGATTACTTACTCAGAAACTGCAGATCAAAGACCTAAAACTGTATAAAGGAGAGAATAAACTTCTCATGAGGGTGCTAGTTCTGTGCTGAGGCTGTAATGAACTTGTGACCATAGGAGAGAGCCCCTCTGAGGGGTTTGCAGGACTATTTATCTGGCAGAGCGCATGTTAGATTTAGAGTGATCTCTGGGAAGGTTATGAGCAAGTGCATGGGTTCTCTCATATTGTTTTTAAGATGTTTTCTCTGTGATACTTTTATCCTAAGAATAAAATTGCATAGAAAGAGCTGTATGGTATCTTAATTGTGAGCAGTTACGCAGTTGTTAGACTCTGAAGAGAAAGCAAACAGGTCTGCTTAGGCAGTCTGTCTTTTGCTGGGAACAGCACAGTAAAGGCATCATGGTTCAGCCTGGAGATACCCCACTTAGAAGGGGGAGGGGGTGAATGTGTGTCTTCTCTACCCAAGAGAGGCAACAGCATGGGGTGCTGGAAGCCTGACAGTGAGTGCCTTGCTGGACTACTGTGGGGGAAATACAAGTGCAGTTGCCCTGCATTGTGACATTTTTAAAAAATCTGGCCTACAATGGCTTCTGAAAGTCTTTCTGACAGGATGGGGTGTCAGGTAATCCTGTACATTTGCCAAGTTAGCTGTGTCTTTTTTTCAGGTAAGGTATTTCCTGAGAGGTGCTTTTGCAGGTCTCGGGTTGCTCTTCCGGTAGAAGTTTAAGGAACGCATGGCACTTTTCACACAAGTTGGGACAAACTCAATGTCCTAGCTAACATTCAGTCTCTCTTGCACTCTCACCCTAAAATTTTATTGCTAAGACTTACTAGGTGCTTCAGTTGCATAATCTCAATTCACTAGTTTATAAAGCTTTGGGGGTGTCTTAAGGGTGAAAGGCTGTACAATGACATATTTACTACTGTGATGGTCTCTCTGGCCCAATGAGATTTGCATCTCAGAACACATGCACACGCCTTGCAGCTGTCATTCATCTGAAAGCAACCTCTGCATGGTGGTCATGAGTGAGTCCCTGTGGTTACTTTGAAACAATAAGCATTAGTTGTGGTCACTCCATATTAAAATACCTATATTTCTTTACGGGGGAAAAAAGTGTCCATCTCAGTGTGATCTGATACCTGCAGTACCTTACTGCTTTAGCACATATTCCTGCGTTGGGCTTTACTTTTCACAGTGAGCTTACAGACAAACTATACTTTCCTGCAAGCTGTATTTTTCTTTTGCATCTTAAAATGTGATTTTGCGACCATGTCAATTTTAGCGCAAGAGCTAGTTGATTCATCCTTGTCTTCTCCTATCCTCTGAGTGTCCTCTTCATACAGTCTTGCTTAGCAACCCTTCCTCTCAGCCTTTCCTGAAGCCCCAGATCTAGAGAGATGAATGTCACTGGTAAACCCTCCATTAGTGCATGCTGGGATATATCTGAAACTTTGAGATTAGGGCTCCTCATCAGATCATAGCCTCAAAGAAGAGAGAGCTCAGATTCCACCCTTAGAATGAATGATTGAGAGAAAAGATGCACGGTCAAAAGGCAGACTTTCTTTTAAAATTAATAGACTCAAAGGCTGAGATGGACAGTCCAGGAAGACAGAATTTATTTTACAAAGAAAGATGAAGAATATTTTTAAAATTGGAGATGAGCCCAGGAAACTGTTGGCATTTGCAGTTGAATGTGATCTACAAATACAAGCAGTACTGCTTATAAAAAATGGAAATTAACTCTAGGATTTTTCTTTGCTGCATATTAACTTGTTTAAGTATAATACCAGTCATACTTCTGATGAAGCCTTGTATTTTTTGTTTCTTTTTTTGTCTGACAGTGACCTTCTTGTCTAGATGGAAGACTACTCCTAATGTTGAAATACAACAGGTACAGAATAGGTGTCAAAAATTTAGGCCCTGAGCTGAATGGATTCTCTTAATTTTGAGAAACTGACACTCATTTTGACCCAGATTGTTGCTATAAGTAATTCAAACTAGTATAATCCCTACTGCGATTTATATGGACTCTGGCCATTGGGCCACACTGCCCTGATCCTAGGAGTGACTTATATGGACTCTGGCCGCTAGGGCGTACTACCTGCCTGCTAGGTGGGGGTTATATGGACTTGGGCCACTGTGCTACACTGCTCTGACACTCTGAAAAATGTTACCAACAATAGCCACCAAAGGCAAGGGAACAGTGGTCAAATCCTCAGCTCGTGTAAATTCACTGATAGATCTATGACAATTAAAACCAGCTGAGGATTTAGACAAATACATTGAATGCACATGGATTTTAAGGCTATAAAAGAATGCTAAATTGTATTATACTGTTCAGCCATTAAGGTGGCACTGTGTGTAATATACCTTATTTAAACGAACCTCAGCCATACCTGGCAGAGCATTAAAGGATTTCATGATGAACACATCTGGTGTGTATGAGCAAGCTCTCTAGCCAGTCCAAATCTGGTATAGGAAAATGACAGAGTGTAGCTAAGTGACTCTCTAATAGAGGAGATATTATTACCTGCCTGTGACGGGGTGGAGTGGCCCTGCTCTGGTACTGCATGGGTTAACCCTTCCTTCCTAGCAGAGAAGCCACGCCCCTGAGGCTCTTCTGGGAATGGTCCAACTGGAGAACAGGTATAAAAGCCTGCAGAGCTGGTCAGTCTGGGCTGACTGCTGGAGGGGAAGGAGGCACACCGCCAGCTTCTGAGGAAGGACAGTCTGTGCTCCAGGATCCGGAAGCTAGCCAAGCGAGGATGCGCCCTGGCGGAGCATGTCACAGCAGGGGAACAGACCGGAGGACCCCTTGACATGGAGGACCCGGAGATTAGGGTAGGAAGTGAGGCTCAGCATGTTTGGGGAGGATCCCAGCCGAGCTGGTGGCAAGAGGAACTTGCCACTACCAGGGCCCTGGGTCGGGACCCAGTGGAGAGGATGGGCCCGGGTCCCCCTACTCCCAGCCACCTGCCCCCCTGGGGTGGGGGAGGGCTAGCATGTGAATCATATGGCTCCAGCCACTAGACTGCTCTACCCCCTTGCGAGGGGGGAATCATAGGGACTCCAGCCACTAGGCCACTCTACCCCTCCTGCAAAGGGTGATCTATGGACTCTGGCCATTGGGACGCACTGCCCTGATGCAGGGAGTCACTTATATGGACTCTGGCCATTGGGACGCACTGCCCTGATGCTGGGAGTCACTTATATGGACTCTGGCCATTTGGCTGCACTGCCCTGATGCTGGAAGCAACTTATATGGACTCTGGCCGCTAGGGCGCACTACTCGGCTGCTAGGCAGGGCCGGCTCCAGGCACCAGCATTCCAAGCAGGTGCTTGGGGCAGCAGTCAGGGCGGCAGAGTTTCCGCCGCCGCGGCAATTCGGTGGCAGCTTCTCTCTCTCCTGCCATCCGCGGCGGCAATTCAGCGGCAACAGTTTTTTCACTGCTTGGGGCTGCAAAAACGGTAGAGGCCCTGCTGCTAGGTGGGGGTTATATGGACTTGGGCCACTGCGCTGCACTGCTCTGACACTGGGAGCACTTTATATGGACTCTGGACATTAGGGCACACTTCCCTGACTGAGGGTGATTGTGTGGACAGAGGCCATGAGGCCACATCGGGCCATCCCCCGAGAGGCAAGCACGCGAGCTTGGGAGTGGCGAGGTCCCAACACCCCATTTCCCTCTCTGCCCCAAAGGGGCAATAAGGTGCTAGGCCAGTCACAACTGGTGGAGAATGTGGGCATCGATCAGGGCCTGAAAGAAGGACTCGGACACCCGAGATGGAGCCAGAGAAGTTTCTGAAATGGCTGTTCGACAACCAACAGCGGCAGGTGGCACAACAGCAACTGCAGGTGGTGCAGCAGCAAGAACAGCAGCCGCCGCTATTCGGGAGCTGACTGCCCAACAACAAGCAAACCACGACAGCAACATTGGGAGCAACTATTCCAGCAGATGGCAACCTTGCTAAGACATGCACCAAGTCCTCCCCCAGGTGTGGCCTCGGAGGACTACCAGTGCGCCTAAGAAAGATGGGGCTAGTTGATTCATCCTTGTGTTCTCCTATCCTCGGAGTGTCCTCTTCATACAGTCTTGCTTAGCAATCCAGAGGAGGAAGGAAGACCCACCCCAACACTGACAGCAAGGCCCCCATTTTGAGATCCATAATGATTTACTCTATTGGGTGGTCCAGGAGCCCCAGTCGAAAGAAGACCTGTACCAACTGTTGGTCCTGCAGTGGTTCTGGAGGAACTTACTCCGCTTGGTTCACTCAGTACCTTGGGCCAGCATCTGGAGAGGGAGAAAACGCTGCAACAGGTGGCCCAGAGATTCTTCTGGCTGGGCATCCATCCAGAGGTGCGGGATTACTGAACCTCTTGCCCTGAGTGCCAGAAGGCCAGCCTGAAAGGGGTACCGAAAGCCACCCTTGTGCCCTTGCCGGTGATTGGGACGCCCTTCAAGAGGATTGGCCTGGACTTGGGGGGGGGGGGCCCTTGGAAAAGAGCAGCTCGGGCCACAAGTACATCCTCGTCATGGTCGATTATGCAACACAGTACCCAGAGGCGGTACCTTTACAAACCGCCATGGCTCCGGTCATTGCCAATGAGCAATGCAGATCTTTGCCCGTGTTGGTCTGCCGCGGGAGATACTGATGGACCAAGGGACTAACGTAACTTCTAGATTGATGGTGGAGCTATGCCATCTGTTAAATATCCACACCCTTAAGACCTCAGTCTGCCACCCTCAAACAGAGGGGTTGGTAGAGAGATTTAATGGCACCCTGAAAGCAATGCTGAGAAACTTAGTGGAAGACGACCCTCAGCACTGGGATAAGCTTCTCTCAGCACTCCTCTTTGCTGTGCGAGAGGTGCCTCAGGCTTTCACAGGGTTTCCCCCCTTTGAACTCCTCTATGGGAGGAAACCTGAGGAATCTTAGATCTCCTGAGAGAAACATGGGAAGAATAGGAGACCTAGGTCAGAGGATCCATTCAATATATCCTCCACCTATGGGAGCGGCTTCGAGAGTTGGGAGCCTTGGCATGAGAGAACCTGGTGCAGGCCCAACATAGTCAAGAGGCTCAATATAATAAGGGGGTGAAGATGAGGAGTTTTGAGCCTGGGGACCATGTCCTCTTGTTGTTACCCTCCTCTGAATCTAAACTGTTAGCAAAGTGGCAAGGCCCCTTCGAGGTGACCAGATGAATAGGCCTCTTGACTACAAAGTTCGGGTGTCGGGGCAAAGGAAAGACACTCAGGTCTACCATGTGAACCTTCTCAAGGCCTGGAGAGACCGGAAAGGCCTGATGATCGCCCTATACCCTCCAGAACCCCAACTGGGGCCATTGGCCAGCAAACCGGCGGAGCCAGGGGCGGCAGCCATAGGCCAAGAGCTTGGCCTGGTACAGCAGGAACAGGTACGACAGTTGATATCAGCCTTCCCTGCTGTCTTGTCAGCGCAGCCAGGGAACAGCACGTAGACCAGCCATCATATCACCACAATCCCCAGCCACAAAGTGAGGGAGAATCACTGCCTGCTCCCCAGGAAGATGTGGGAGACCATGCAGAAAGAGCTTGAGGTGATGTTGGCCCTGGGAGTAGTCGAAGAGTCAAGGAGCAAATGGCAGAGCCCAATAGTGCTAGTTCCCAAGCCGGACGGAAGAGTCAGGTTCTGCATTGATTTCCGTAAAGTGAACGCAGACTCTCGCTTTGATGCATATCCCATGCCCCAGGCACTGCACTGCACTGCTCTGACACTGGGAGCAATTTATATGGACTCCAGACACTAGGGAACACTACCCTGACTAAGGGGTGATTGTGTGGACAGAGGCCATTAGGCCACATCAGGTCGCCCCCAGAGAGGTGAACACGCAAGCTTGGGAATGGCGAGGTCCCGACGCCCCATTTCCCCTCTGCCCGAAAGGGGCAGTAAGGTGCCAGACCAGTCACACTGTCATACAGTACACTGATACATTCTGATCACCTTAGGGTTTGCCTACACAAGGGAAAAGCCTGCAGTAGTTGATATGTACTAAGTCCCCCTGTGGACACTCCTAAAGTGCCTTTGTGCACTTTGGAAGTGTATAAAGCTAAACCACCTGAGGGAATTCAGTGCACAAGAAGTGTGTCCACATGGAGAGAGTGCAGAATAGCTAGTATGTTTTAATTTCACACCCTAGTTCTCTACACACTAACTCCCTGTGTAAACAAGCCATAGTTTGGTTTAGGAGAGCCAATCTATTGCTAATTTTCTCAAATTATTGTAATGGGACATACTGGAGTAGCTGTTTGAGTCCCCCCTCACAGCCAGGTGTCACTTTGCAGTCACCCAGCCCGTTAGCCCCCTCTTGCAGGTCCAGTAAGAACTCATTCAGTTCCAAGGTAGGTCAAACAATACCCTCCTGATGCTCCATTTTATTGAGTCATAGAATATCAGGGTTGGAAGGGACCTCAGGAGGTCATCTAGTCCAACCCCCTGCTCAAAGCAGGACCAATCCCCAACTAAATTATCCCAGCCAGGGCTTTGTCAAGCCTGACCTTAAAAATATCTAAGGAAGGAGATTCCACCACCTCCCTAGGTAACGCATTCCAGTGTTTCACCACCCTCCAAGTGAAAAAGTTTTTCCTAATATCCAACCTAAACCTCCCCCACTGCAACTTGAGACCATTACTCCTTGTTCTGTCATCAGCTACCACTGAGAACAGTCTAGATCCATCCTCTTTGGAACCCCCTTTCAGGTAGTTGAAAGCAGCTATCAAATCCCCCCTCATTCTTCTCTTCCGCAGACTAAAAAATCCCAGTTCCCTCAGCCTCTCCTCATAAGTCATGTGTTCCAGTCCCCTAATCATTTTTGTTGCCCTCCGCTGGACTCTTCCAATTTTTCCACATCCTTCTTGTAGTGGGGGCCCAAAACTGGACACAGTACTCCAGATGAGGCCTCACCAATGTCAAATAGAGGGGAACGATCACGTCCCTCGATCTGCTGGCAATGCCCCTACATATACATCCCAAAATGTCATTGGCCTTCTTGGCAACAAGGGCACACTGTTGACTCATATCCAGCTTTTCATCCACTGTAACCCCTAGGTCCTTTTCTGCCGAACTGCTGCCGAGCCATTCGGTCCCTAGTCTGTAGCGGTGCATGGGATTCTTCTGTCCTAAGTGCAGTAATCTGCACTTGTCCTTGTCGAACCTTATCAGATTTCTTTTGGCCCAATCCTCTGATTTGTCTAGGGCCCTCTGTATCCTATCCCTACCCTCCAGGGTATCTACCTCTCCTCCCAGTTTAGTGTCATCTGCAAACTTG